TACAAATCAGTTCCAAGAATGAGTTTAGTTGGGAAACTTGTAAAAGTAAGTAATTTTCAGTTACTATTTAGCTTTAAGGCTTAACAAGTAAAACTCCCTTACAATAAAAAAGATCTAAATATAAATGAAAGCAATCAGGAAGGAAAAAAAAATGTGAACTTGAGCAGTCATTTTAAAACTGCAATTTACGTCAAGACAGTAAAATTTGGTTAGCAAAAGAAATGTGAATAAACTGAAGAAAATGAAAGTGAGTCCACAAGAACCAAAACATGATCAGAGTCTATGCCACCTGAACTGTCAGATTAACAACCTCATGAATAAATATGATACACTGAACACTAATGACTAAAGAACAGAAAGTTGTAGGATGATATCAAGAATACCATCTACACAGTAAACAAAAGGTCCATCAAAGGCAGGGGAGAAATAAAAGACCAAAATAGAGGTCAGAAGCGACTCCGAAACTTGCCCTAGACCATACAGAGGCCAAGACAAAGGGAAGAAATATTGAAGTAAAAGAGATGAACTGAAGATTTGAGAGGGCAGCTTGAGGAAACAAAGTAGTATCACAAAATATGCAAAGAGCTGGAGTCAGAAAATCAAAAGGGGAAAAGTCAACATTTCTCAAGCTGAAGTACTGAAGAACAAATTCATGCCTTGAGTTGTAATACTCAAGGATGCTATGGAGAGAATCTTGAATACAGGGAGGTGAACAATCGATAATGAAGAGGCTCAAGCGGCACTGAAGACACTGGCTACAAACAATGCCCTAGGAACTAATGTAATACCAAGTGGCATGTTCAATAACGAGATGCAGCCCTGGATGTGCTCTTCAACCACCCAAGACTACAAATTTGGAAGACAACTACTTGGCCAACTGGGTGGAAGAGATCCATATTTATTCCCATTGCAAAAAAACAAACAAACAAAAACCAAAAAAACAAACAAACAAACAACCAAAAAACAAAAAACCACAACAGTGATCGAAGAGAATGTGGAAATTATCTAAAAACAGTATCATTAATATCACATGCAAATAAAACCTTGCTGAACAACTTCTAAAAATTCAAGATGGCTTCAGAAGCGGCAGCAGTTTAAGAGATAACACTGCTAATGTCTGATGGCTCTTGGTTGAAAGCAGAAAATACCAGAAATATGTGTACTTGTGTTTTAGTGATTATGCAAAGATATTTCACTGCATTAGTCACTTATGGATATTACGAAGAATGACAATCCCAGAACAATCAATTCTGCTTATGCAAAACCTATATATAGGCCAATAAACAAATGCCCAAACAGAACAAGGTAATAATACATCATGGTTTAAAATCAGGAAAGGGTGTATTGGTAGCATTATATCCTTTCTCCATCCTGTTCAATGTGTATTTGAAAAACTGTCTAGAAGATAAATGAAGAAAAATTGTGGCCTAAAGATTAAAGGGATATTCAAACTGTTAAGCAGATGATACATACAATCTTGGTTGCAGAAAAAAATGAAGCCATCCTGAAGCACTTAAGAGTATAGCCATCAGTATGGATTACATATCTACAAAACTTGGTCAACTGACCTCCAGTTGGCACTAGTAGCTTAGAGAGGCTGTAAATCACACTAAGAAGAGATTATCCATGTTTCTTCAGAGAAGCTACTGGTGGATTAGAACCAACAGCCTTTGTGTTGGCAGTGGAATATGTTACTCTCTAAAATCCTCACCACCAATAAGCAACATCCTGATAGATGCAGCCAAGACCATCTCCAAAGTGCTAACCAGTAAGAACATCAGTTTAAAGTGCTCCTGATTCACCATGGTATTTTCAATTGCTTCCTATATAAGACAGTAAGGATAACTGAGAAATCAATGACCCTAATTGTGGTGTTGACAAGTACTGAATATCCAATGAACTGCCAAAATAGAACAAGCAAATCTGTCTTGGAGGAAGTGCAACCAGGATGATCCTTAAAGGAAAGGTTGGGAAAAGTTTATCTCATATACTCAGGACATGCTGTCAGGAGAGGCCTATCCTTGGAAAAAGTTATCCTGCTGGGAAAGGTGGAGGGTCAAAGACTTAATGAGATGGACTAGCACAAGAGATTTTGAGGAAGATGCAGGACAGGGGAAAGGCTAATATGTGATTCATAACGTGATATGAGCTATAGTCAACTAGACTGAACTTAATAACTAGTAAGGCTAATTCTTGCCTTAAAAAAGGTTGGTTTAATAGCACGGACTTTGCCCCAACCAGCAATATTTCCCTTGCTATATGATGTCTTGTTAGAAAAGCAGACATCAGGGAGCATGTCAGCAGCATTATCTTCCCAGAAGATCAGTTTATCATCATCAGTGACGATACAACTTTCAATATATTTCTATATTCAGCATTAATAAATTAAGACTGTTGGACCATAAAACTTATTCGGGCAAAGAAATTAATGGTGCAGAAACCTAGAGGCATGTTACTTACATACTTTTCAATCGAAATGAGGTATTATTTTAAAAACAAACCTCAAAAAAAATCCTAACTTGTTACTGTTATATTCACTCTTGAATAGACTCAAGACAATCAGTAGAGTAAGGCTTTGTTCCTCTTTAAGTTTTGTTAGTCTTCTCTGGGGACTTAAGTGTCTAGTTGGCTGGTCTGAGAGTCTGCAGTTCACTCACTCAACTGCCTCTATAGATTCCTACTCCACTGGGTTCCCAAGGCTGCCAGTCTCACACTGATGAGATGGCCAATCTTTTCCCTAGGGAAATGCTGGTGAACTCACACTGCTGGAGAGGGGCAGCCTCTGGGTTAATACTGCAGCACACTACACACAGAATACACCACTAGTGCACGAATCTGGCTACATTATGAAAAGAAACCAAATCCAAAAGAATCCCACATAAAAACAACACTTAGGAAAAGAAATGGAGGCGAAATTAACACTGCATTTCAAACACATTTGAAATAAAGCCAAGTCCATTAAAAATTGGAAAAAAAAACCAACCAACTAAACAAACACCAAACCACCACCCCCCCCAAAAAAAACCCCAACCAAAAACCCACCTTTCATTCTTTTGTCAATAAGATGGGTTGACACAATCACAACATCTATGAGGGATGATGAAATTTGCCAAGGGCCAGATAACATACTGGTAAGCTACCACTTGATAACATCTAACAAGGACCACCTCTCACTACTCTTGCTGGGGTCAAGTATTTATTGTTCATGGGTCTTCAGTTTTATTTCAAATGAAGTGTTAAAATGATCTGAAACATAATTTATGTGAAAATCAGTGTTAAGTTCAATGTTAAATCTTGGTTTTCCCAAGTTGAAACACAACACAGATTTCTCAGGGGAAAAGTACACTGTTAAGGATTCCACTTTATTTGCCTTGCTTCCAGTTTAAATGACCACCATATGCCTTCAATTCATTTGAATATACTATTACTGTATTGCATATCTGAATAAATGAATGAACAAATGAATGCCCAATTGGACTCAGGTAGCAATTCTGAGTCTGGAGCCCTTAGAAACCATTCAGAAGGTCTGTGAAGTCATACCATCTTGAAAATACTACTTCTTTTTCAATGTTGACATTTGCTGTATAAAAGAAATGGTGTATCTTCTGTCATACTCACAGGAAAAAGGACATTTTCTCTTAAGAACATCCTTGATACAGCTGTAAACCCCAATTTTACTACCTTAAGACCACAACTTGGTAATGTCCTTATAATGTAACAGGAAGTACAGGTCTTGTTGCATATTAACACGAGTTTGTCTCTAGGAGAGTTCTTTTAATATGGAAATAAATATTCAAGTAGCCACTTTTCTCATGGAACTCCATTTTTACTTCAAAGCATGACTTATAAGTCTAGGGGTATTTGTTTGACATATTCTCCTAAATGAGATGAGTCTGCCACTTGAAAAAAAGAACTATTTGCTGTCAATAATAATAAAATTTCAGCTTTCAAAGGAACTTGAAAGACCTATGTTGCTGGGAGCTTGAGTTTCCCAGTAATTAAAAAAAAAAAGACTGTCTTGGTGAGATTAGGAATATTATTAAAAGAACCATACTGTACAATAGAACATTTAACATTTTGAAGAAATGCAATTAACCAGCATTTTTTCTAATGATCAGTATACAATGTACAAAATAATGTATCAATAAGTAGTCCATTCAATATGCAAAACAAATACATTTTAATGAACAAAGTATGAAGTCAACTGAGAAGGTTTCAGTTTTCACATAACTAACCTTAATCTAAAAACCTGCTGGAGTGGTTATGTGCTCAATGGCACATAACCACCACCACCACCACCACCACCTTCTTCAAGAAACTAACTGTCAAGTTTTGAAAATAAAAATGAACATCTATAATTAATTAAGATATAAAAATATTATTTCCCAGTTATCTGTAATGCTCTGATACACTGCAACCAAAGTGTCATAGAGCAAGTCTGGACCAATTAACAATTTGCATAAAAATGACAAATGCTACTTCTCAAATGATTTTTTTTTTAAAAAATTTGTTCCTGCTAATATTAACATGGGTACATTGTTTTTAATGAATTTAAAAAAGGAGACAAAATTGTTAAGGTTTACTTCCTAATACCGTATGGATCAACAGAACTAAAACAGAAGTTCTTTTGAGTCCTTGATTTTTATAAATAGGTACTGAGATCAAATGTTTGAGAACTGTCTAGAAATTCAGAACAGTAAGCACTGAATATGAGTTTGTCTTTTGCTAATTCACACAGAATTTGTATTTCAAGGGCCAGTCACTGTCCTTAAAAACACTTATTTTTTTAAACAGTGATATATAACAGAACAGTTTTGGCCGTTGAGGAAGGGTTATTAATACTGTGCAAACAGTTTAATTAATTCATCCTTGGAATTATCTATAAGGTTTTTAAGGAAAAATGTCACAAAATAGCTTAATTATATAAAATATTTAAAATAATAATTAAAATGATATTTTTTGGTTTTGAACATCATACCACACAGTAAAGTGCCACACTGTTTTTATCAATTATTTATTTAGGTAACAAGTTGGTTATGTTCACTGTGTTGTATGAAACATCACAATATCATACTTGAAAAGTACTATCAGTACAGGGTTGGATCAGAGTGGACAGTTTGAACAATATACTATTTTGCATTCTTCATTCCCTATCTTTCAATAAACCCCCCTCCCAAACCCAGTAAAGGGACAAATAGCTTTTAACATCATCATGTAAAGCACTTGAACTTACAAAGCTAAAAGCTAAAGAATAAATAAAATATATTGTGGCAATAATTCCTTTTAGACCAAAAATCAGATGCACAATTAAGCAAATTATCAGGAAAGCTGTCTATATTCAAATGTGTGGCTCGCCAGAACAGCTTCAGAAAAATGCTATACAGAAAATACCATGAATTCCATTTCACACAGGACCAGATGATGACTCAAAAACTACACATATGGGCAATTATATCCTGCTGAAGCACAGTTTAAACATAAAGGAAATGTTTACAAAGCATCTACAACATGTAAGCCATGTACAAATGGACACATTCATTGTTTTTCCTACTCCAAATGCAGTTTTTAATAAATATTTCTCTCTTCCTGTTCAGCATTAATTGTACTTAACACATGCAAAACCCAAAAGACTGAAGTTACTGTAAAAATAGAATTAAACTAATAATCTTTAAGTACCTATGTGATAGTCACTCCTGTACCGTGCCCAATGTTATAAAATGAAGTCACTGAACCCATGAAAATATCTCTGTAATATTTCCTCAGATCTAAAATAGATCATTTTAACTGTATAATTTCAATGTGATATTCTGAGCTTTTAAAATAATGTAAACAATTAAAAATTATACCAAATTACACCAAACTTGTTTGTATCTTAAAAGCTGAAAAAAAGTAAAACTATAGAAACCCACATGTAAAATAAAAATCACAATTTACATTATAAAGGCAAATTTCATCATTTAAAAAAATGTGCAGCAGTGAGATGTAAAAGCAAATTATAAATAGCCATAAATTAATCCATTTGGTTTTAAAAGATTTTCTAGTGAAAGTTGAAGGATGTAGTCGATACATGCATAAAATTCATAAGTTTTATATTATTATTGCCAAATACACTTTATCTTTAAGCAAGGCATTACTGGAGAACCCAGTTGGTAATACAGGTAAAATTGGAAAAATTAAATAACAATAATAAATACATATATCCTATAGTAAATTTTTCAAATGAAATTCCAAGCCACAGAGCTGCAAAAGGTTTCCAACTTGGTGAACTGAAAAAGGAACATCTCATACAATTCTTTACTCTGACATGCTTATATGTTGTGTTTTGCTTTTTTAAAAAAATAATGTATCTTCAGAGTACAGCTAATTATATTCCCATGCACCTCAGGCACATTTGTTGGTTTGTCGTGAAATAACTTTGTTGGTTTCTAGGGCCCAAAGTTCTACACAGATGTAACTCGTATGCCTGAGGTTGGCAAAATACTGTACAGGCAATTCTATAGTGGCAATTATAGAAAAAACATAAATATGAACAAATGATGGGAAATGCTAATGATATGCTGCCATTATCACAAAACGCTGGGAATCCACAAGAATATTTTTCCCTTGTATTGAAGAAAATTGTGATTAAAAGTTTTTTCCCCCAATTTTCAGAATCAAAAGCATTTTAGAAGGTTTATAAGGCTACCATGGGTCTTCTAGATCTCCAGCACCCTACAGGAAGAGAAAAGGAAGAATATTATTATTATTATTATTCACCTGTTTTACTTGCATATTGGAATGATTTTCACAAGAAAACAAAATTAGTTGGATAAATTACCTTCCTTTGAAAAAGGTATGTTTACACAAAATGGTGCATGTATTTATAGATTTTGTGTGCACAATGTATCTACCTATACAAGCAACTGTGTAGATGTTGGGGGGCTCACCCCCCCCTTCTACATCATACTAATCTCCTCTTTCTCAAATCACTCAAAAATACTCTGGTTTTGAAAAAACAGACCAAAATAAAAGCTATATGAAAGTTCCAAGTTATGGTACACCTTAAGTAACTTTAGACATAATATAAAAATATAAACATGAATGACGTCCACAATTAGAGTCACAGAATTATTTTTAAATTCTTTTCCTATGTGAGTAGTAGCTATCTAGAATTAAAGTGTCAATTTTACCTAAGACAAATCTGCTACTATTTAAATAATCCACAAACATGACTAAAAAGTGACTATTTCTCCAGCAAAATGGACAATGTGGCAATTTTTAAAACAAAATGCTCCTCATGGCAGTTTCCTCATATGCTTATGTGTGCCTCAAATTTAATATAATGTACCACAAAATAGAATAGATAAGCAACAGATCTGCTTTGAGTACATATTTAAATAATATAATCTTTGGTATTTTTATATAAATGTTTTCCTCTTAAAGAAGTCAAGTTTTCTAAATTCTACGTAAATACAAATAAATTAATGAGTAATTTTCCAATGTACCAAAACTGGTTGTAAAAAAAAAATCCAAAAACAAAAAACTTAAAAAATAAGTACAACATGCATAGATTATTCCACATCACATGCTTTATTTGGACTTATCATTTCATTCTAAACACTTGGATGACATACATTTTGATGTGTGTAGTTAGACTATACAAATTATACAAACCAAAGCTGTATGAGTAATACAAAGATTTTCAAAAAAATTTTTCCATAAAGAATACAGAAGGAAAAACTAATAACACATCCAATAGCTCATAACTTCCATAACTTCTAAAAAGAAAACTACAGAGATGTCAATATAAACACGTCAACACAAATTATCATCCTTAAAAGAATTACAGGCTAGAATCAGCCATTCTTTGAAGAACTAAAATTGTTAAAGAAAACACAAATTTATTACAAAGCTCAACTATGAGTATACTAATACGCAGAGTAACGTGAAGCAATATAATTCTACATTGACAAATTTTTTTTATACAATATAATGTAATCTCTCATCAGTAATCTATAATCCTGCCTAGTATACGTTTTATTTAACAACTGACTTTAATATCTGGCAGCCTAATTTCTGGTGTACAATATGAAATTATATATCATTTTATCAAATTCAAGTACTATAAATGGTTAATTTTAAACTGTGTGATAAAGGTGTATGCAAAGGCCTTCTTCAGAAAAACAAGGCTATGTAAATGTAATAAAACTAATTTTCCAGGACTCAAATAACAAATGGTTATATATAAATGCATACATTGAACTTCCTAAGTAAAAACCATCAAATCAAGGATCACAAAAATATAATTAAAAAAGTCAGTTTTTTTACCACTTATCTTTTCCCTGCATCTTCATTAGAGCTCTCTAATTCAGCAAGATCACTTTGTGATTCAGTATGGCTTTCCTGCATTGTCACTGGGTTTCCAGCATCACTGTTCGAAGAAGTAGCTGCAGCAGCTGGTTCAGCAGGGCATTCTTCTCCCTCTATTTTAGCTAGCCTGTAACTAGTCAGCATCTCCTCCAGAAGTTGGCGGTAGTTTCCCCTATGATTAATTCTCATTTGCCTGAGAGCTTCCACCAATTTTCCCTGTGATCCACTTTCCTCTGCTTCATCGGAGGCCTTTTTTTAAGATTCAAGACCCCAGTGTCAGTAGACAAACTAGGATATCACATGTATTTTATAACATATTATAGCAAAACACTCATTTTTCTACCATGTTTTAAAAAGTCTAAGCATCTAAACATTTCATTAAATAAGTAACCAGTCTTACCTGAGACAATTAATAAAATTTCCACAGTATAAAAACCTGGTAAGTTATTTTACCAAACAAATTAACATTAACTAGTCTACATATTATCTAATATTATCATATGAAGTGAAATCTGAAATTTACTTTTCTCTCAGAATTCAACAGCAACATAAACTCAACTTTTTCAAACAATAATAATTGACTATAATAATTTAATAGAAAAGGTAAATGGTTTACAAAGCAATAGGAAAAGGACAGAAAAATCAGAAAAATAGGCTATCAGAACCCTAGTTTCCTAATCACTTCTGTTAAATTATAGAAAAAAGAGGTATAAAATAAATTTATGTAGTGGTTTTAGGGGATATCTCAACATTTTTTGTGGATTAAAAAATTGTCTGAAAATATTTTAATATAAGGATCTCTACATATAACAAGACAAATTATTTAAAGCTTAAGAATAAAATATCGATTTCTTGACTTTATAAATTGTATTCTGGAAAATGGAATAGTAGCTACACAATGTTAGCAGAACAAGCTCTAATCTTGCAACATGATCACAGTTGGTAAACTGAAAATGAGACAACCTTACCAGTACTTTGCTTTGTATGGGACACATTATGATGTACAAAACCATGCCTAGCTTTTTTAAAAAAAAATAAATAAATAAAATTTTTTATTTTACACTCGTTTACTTACATAGTTTATATACATTGTTTTTCACACTGGATCTTACGAATCTAGGAACGCTTACAGAGCTCTGGTGGCTTATTGGAAACCAAAGGCAAGTATTTTGAAACCACCACCTGTGGGAGAAAGATGAGTAATCTCCCATGCAATCATTAGCCTCTGAAAACATGCTGGAGGGTCAGCTATGAGTTGGTCAGACTTGATAGAGCATAACAATAATAAAGCTTATTCTCAGTTTACAGTAAAAAACCAGGCAATAAGTAGATCATGTTACAAAATTCCATGAAGTAATAATTCAGGATTTATATAAGAAGTATAAATCCAAGATGTGGGACAAATTTAATGTGCGACATTCACACTACAAAAAGTCAGTGTTAGGGTGGAAAAAGGAGTGAAGGAGGTGCTGGATTAAAGATGGACTAAAAAGAAAAAAAACTGGTTAGAACACAGTTCTAAGTCTAATTGTAAGTTACTCTACAGGCAATTAAAGAACTAGGAACTTGATATTAGATAATACTGTGAAATCTACTATTAATTTTCTTAGGTATAATAGTTCTTATACAGAAACATGTTCTGAATTATGAAAATTCTGAGCTGTATGTCAAAATATTTAGAGGTGGAATATCATAGTATCTGCAATTTGCTATAAACTGATTTGAGAATTAAAAAGGTACATATATACATATATGTCTTAAAATGTTAACAAATGCTGAATTTCAACTTTTCTATATATTTAGATGTTTGTTTTGTTTTTTTTTATGGAACACTTCACGAATTTGCGTGTCATCCTTGCGCAGGGGCCATGCTAATCTTCTCTGTATCGTTCCAATTTTAGTATATGTGCTGCTGAAGCGAGCACTAGATGTTTGTTTTTATCACAAAATGTTTAATATAATTATGCTATAGCTGTGCAAAAAAAGATAATCATAAAACAAGTGAAACATTTATTAAAAAAATGAGAGTACCTGAAATCTGGGTGGCGGGGGAAGGGGGGAAGAAGATAAAGTAAGATTTGGGGATTTATCTATCAGTTCATTTTAGGATTCATATTTTTAAAAGCCTGAAAATAAAGGAAAAATGTTAAAATATTAATAATGATGTGCATTCTATATAAATGATTTTTTAAACATATTTTTAAATTTTTGGATATGAAATCACCAGCTACTCCACAGGAGGAAAATCCGGCACTCTCCTCCTGTTTCTATTTAGGAATCTGATGAGGGTTACTAATGAAGGCTGACCTGATGGCAAAGAAGGAATTTTAATAATAAAAACAGATTCGGAAGTTTATTTCTGGCTTAAAAAGTGTCCAATCTGTCCTTTCTTTCCTCCTAGTCTCAAAAATGTGAATGTCTTTTTTTTTAAAAAAAAAGTGAATGAATGTCTTTAAAACAAGCTTTTTTAAGATTAGTATAAAAAACAAAATACATATATTTAAATTGATTCAGTGACTGGGGTAATGGGGATAAGGGGTATCAAGGACAGTAAGATTGGCACAGGATAGAGCAGGGTTTAGGGCTGTTGTACACAGGGTCCCTATGCACACAAAAACAATAAGGAATAAATACTTCCCATTAAAATCAGAATATCCTAAGATTATTGAAAATGAGTTTTAAAAATCATGTGAAAACTTTTTCTTGGATGGCAGAGTAATACAGAGTACAGACACGTACATAACCTTCTAAACAATTTAGGTTGCTTAAGCTATTATAAACAAAAGAGTTTTTGGGAGTCAGACTAACAGGGATGGGAATTTTGGTTGGGTGTTGGCTTAGCTTTGTGACCTGGGCAACCATTTCATGTCTGTTAGTTTCATCCTTAAAGGACAGGTACTGTGACAGTAATAAATGATAATACATATAAGGGGCTCAGCACAAGCAGGATTTGGATAAATGTAATGTCCTCCTTTACCCTTGGAAATAAATGATCTACTTAATATACTTACAGATGAAAAACATCATGAGATTTCATTGAGGGAAAAACCTAACATTTTTGTCAGAACTTTAAAAATACAGGTTTTCACCACAATCAGAACCCTCAAATTATTTTCTTCATATATGTATCTATATGATTTGAAGATAGCTTTAAGAAAAATGTACCAATCTGAAGGCATGTGGTTCAACTCCACCAGCAGGATGTGTTCTCAGAACCCTGCCTAACATAACAACTATATATTGCTTTAACAGAGATCTCTAAGGAATCTAGTCATGCAGTGAGCTATGTGATTGACTGCTAGCCCACTAGCTTTTCTTTGGGAAAAATATGAGATTGTCTCTTCTCATAAAGATTTGCAGCC